CAATTGGGGAATGGCTGAATAAGTTGTGGTATGTGATTATAATGGAATACTACTGTGCTGTAAGAAATGATGAGCAGGATGATTTCAGAGAAACCTGGAAAGACTTACATGAACTGATGCTGAATGAAATGAGCAGAACCAGGAGAAAATTGCACATAACAACAGCAATATTGTATGATGAAGAACTATGAGTAACTTAGCTATTTTCAGCAATACAGTGATCCAAGGCAATTCCAAAGGACTCATGATGAAAAATGCTGTCCTCTTCCAGAGAAAGAACGGATGTCATCTGAACACAGACTGAAGCATACTTTTTTCCACTCCTTCCCTCCTTCCTTCCTTCCTTCCCTCTCTCTTCCTTTTTCAAGTTTTTTTCCACAAAATGACTAATATGGAAACGTTTTACATGATTGCATATGTATAACCTGTATCAGAGTGTTTACTATCTCAGGGAGGTGGGGGGTAGGATAGATTTTGGAGCTCAAAACTTAAAATAAAACAACCCAACAGTAAACCACCGTTAAAAATGTTTTTACATAAAATTGTAAAAATATTTGAATAATTGAAAAAATGTTAAAAATGGGAAAAAATAAAGTTTTCTTATCAAAGCCTGTCACTCCAAGGGCAAAGTCCAAGGTTCTTGTGAGGGGGAGGGAGTTGAGTGTTATGGACAGAGTGCAGTCAACTTAGTTTGGAAATGGTGGTGACAAGAGCAGAATCAATGCTGTATTACAAGAGCAGATCCTGGGTTTTAGGAATTTCATTTTGATAGACCTATAGAGGATATATTAGAGAGGGGAGAAATTGGAAACAGGAAGACCAGTTAGGACTCTATTAAAGTAATATGTATGAGAGGTGATGAGAACTTGAATTAGACTGTAGCATATGTGAATAGTGAAAAGGAGTTGTATATCAGAAAAACTGTGGAGGCAGAATTGACAAGACTTAACAAGTGATAGGATATGGAGACAGAGAGAGGGAAAAGTTGGTTGGGAACCTGGGTGATGCGGTAGCATCAACTGAATTAAGGTTTGGAGGAAGGATGAGTTTTGGGGAAAATATAGTGAATTGTGTTTTAGAAATAGTGACTTTGAGATTCCTGTGGGACATCCAGATGGAGTTTACCCATTAGACTGCTGGCAATTTAGGAATGAAGTTCAGGAGAGAGATTAGGGGTGAATACATGCATATGTGCATTTATACATGTATATATTTTAGTGTACACATGTATGCCATGGTAATAGATAAACAATGTCTGTGGAAAATGCCAGTTCACTTTAATTATTTTCTTTCTTGTATAAATTTATTATCTTGGAATATCATTCTTTTTTCTTCCCAGGTTGTCCTTGCCAAACTTAATTAGTTGTTTAAATTCAGCATGCTATTTTGTTTTTAAATCGTTAACTTAGTGCTTACTTGCAGTTGTCACCTGCAGTTTAGTGATTATAAGATTATTAAAGGTCCATATCACAAGGTAGATGTAGAAAGGAACAGAGTTGATTTTAGATAAGTTACTTGAAGGACCCATGATTTTTTAAGTGTGGGGACCCCCTCCAGTGATGGTCAAAAATCTTTCTGTGCCTTAGTGGATGATTTGGTATGGCTAAGTATTCAACAAGCACATTATTATGGCAAAGAGGTGACCTTGGATTTTCTTCAGCCATGCCAATGGTACATAAGCTGGATAAATTCTACTGTGCTCAAAAAACTTTGATTACAATCCTGGCAAAAGATAGTCGACTTTCTGAGGGCTAGCCCTGTTGATTAAGACTATCTTACTGATAAATTGGCTACTTTGGAATGAAATCTTTGGCCATGGCAACTCATTAAACAAAGAAAAATATAAAATAGACCTTGGTCTTATAAGACCTCTATCTACCTTAACAGCATCAGAATGTTGGAAGGCTAAGAATCACAGCTTTTAAGACTATAAGGTGTTGGAACATGTGATATTCGTTTAGATGTGAAAGAGTGCTCTTACTAGAAGGATTGAATTGTGTGAATCTTGACATTCATATTAGTGAGACTATAAGACAAAAGGATATTGATTCTATGTGCAGTGATGGCTCCTAGGCTTATTGGTTGCAAAATAGAATGAGATAGAGAAATTCTATGGAGAGCTTTCCAAATTAAATCATATGCTTTTATATTTGGTGACTGCAATACAAAGATGGGTGTAGGTAAGTATTGCAAAAAATGTGGTTTAGAAGTAAGCAATAAGAGGCCAAAGACTCGTGACTGTCATGAACACCTCTGAGAAAAAAATCATCAGACTCTGGATATGGAAAGGAATATATATTTCCAAAAATGAAATTAATTTTATTTTAGTAACTGGGAAGCAACTTATTACTGATACGGGATTCGTTCTTGAATTAGTTGGCCATGTACCATCATACCATTGATTTGGGTTTTTTTTTTTAAGTTTTCCTGCTTTGTTATTGTTATTGATAACTTAATTTTTACATCACCTTTAATTCCACATATATCCCTCCCTCTCCTATATTCAGCAAAACAGCCTTTGTAACATAATAGAAAGAAAAAAAAGAGCAGTTCAGCAAAACCAATAACAGATGAGCTGTGTTTGACATACATGGAATATTCTGTACTCACAACTTCCTATCTCTGTAAAGAAGGGAGAGAGATGCATATTCCTAACTCTTATTTGGGGCCAAACTTGTAGATTGTTGGAAAAAAGATCAAAATTAGGTGAAAAAATAAAGAAATTTTTATGTGACTTCATACACAAATTGATAGAGCATCTAGGTGGTATAGTAGACAGAGCACTGGGCTTAGAATTAGGAAACCTTATCTTCGTGAGTTCGAATGTGGCCCCAGATACTGGGCAAATCACTTAACCTTGTTTGTCTCAGTTCCTCATCTGTGAAATGAGCTGGAGAAGGAAATTGCAAGCCACTTTAGTATCTTTGCCAAGAAAACCCAAAATGGGATCAGAAAGAGTTGGCTTTGACTGAAATGACTGAACAATAATAAATCACAAATTAAGGATGTTCTTGATGAGGGCACTAGAAAGGAAATGCAGAGATTTCCCAAATTATACTCCAAAGTAGATCACATCTTTACAGTAACAACTGACCAAATGGCATGAAGAGCACAAAATCCTGTGATACTTTTTGTTCACTGATTTGATCATTCATTGATTGATGTGATTTGGTAGAGTTAGCTTCTTTAGTGTTCATCCCCTGACAAGTGTCTTCTCATGCATAGGATAAAAATTCAAGAAACAGTAAAAGTTAGAACAAGAGAGAAAACTACATTCAGCAGTGCTATGAAGCAAAGGATGAAAACAAATGTATTTTCACCGAAGGTATTCCTCAGTGTTGTAGTGGATGCGGTAGAATACCAGTTCAGTTCAAATAAAAGGTATATTTTCTATGATTCATGAATTCTTCTAGGTGCTCCTCTTTATACATGACAGTGTGCTGATTTCATGAAGTCCTGGAACATTGCAGAACCTTCTAAGTAAAAATACATTCATTCAGTGAGATAAATAATCATTCCAAAGAGTTTGTCCTAACTAGCCACATAAGAAGAAAACAAGCGGATGAAAAATAATTATTTATGATTATGTAGTTGGAAGGAAAGCCTGTAGAGCTTGTCCAGTATATTTATCTTGGATATTGATTGTGATAGACAATGATTTGGGTCCAGAATTGAATAGGAGGAGAATGGGTTGGATTGCCTTTAAGAAACTACATAGTTATTTTAATAACTCCAAGCTTTTTCCTAAACAAAGTCTTTTTATTACCAGTATTCTTCTGGTGATATTGTATGACTTTAAGTGATGAAATACTGTAGTCTGAATTATTAAAGTTGAATATCATTCAAAGGTGATTGTAGAGGACATGCACAAGCTACAGTACATTATAAGTGAGGAAATTTGTAGGACAGGTGTATAACTGAAAAAAAAAGGGCTCATCACATATATAGTGAGAGAGCAAGAAATAGATAACCTAAGTGCTTCATTGGTATTCATGGAATATCTAGAGAGCTTGAGGAAAACCTCTAGCAGAAATCCAACACAAAAATTTCCTTTGGCAGATTTTAATCATCAACAACTCGGGATCAAGCATTAATTGAGTATGTACTAGGACCTCCACTAAAGTCTTCCTCTGATACTCATCATCATCATCATCATTTTCATAGCTAGCATTTATATAATGGTTTAAGATTTGCAAAGTGTTTTACTTATGTTGTCTCATTTGATTTTCACAACAACTGTGTGAGGGAGGTACTATTTTTATCCACATTTTGCAGATGAGGAAAGTGAGGCTGGAAAATGTTGTTACTTATACAGGGATCATGTGACTAATAAGAGTCTGAAGCAGGATTTGAACTCACATCCACCTGCTTCAAGTCTGTTGCACCACGTAGGTGCTCATCATAGCATGGAAGCAAGCCTAAGGAAAATACCCCTAGGTTCAAAAAATTTTAGGATTTTTTTTTTCTTCCTCTGTGGTGAATATATAGGATGAATGAAATTTCAGAGTAGGAAAGTATCCCTAGGTTGCAATTTACATTGTTGGGGGGGAAGGAATACACACATCAATGATGTCTTTCTTTGAAGTATTATAGTTGAAAAACCTGAAACTCAGTGCAAACCTTTCCAAAATTAGCTAGGCTAGTCTTCCAGTGACATGCAAACTCTATCTCCAGGATTTTATTTGAAACATTTCCAGCTTTGCTTGTGCTTCATGGGCATAGCTTTTGAGAGCTCAGGGTCAAGTCCATGCTGTGGTAAGGTAATTATGGAGGACTTAAAAACTAAACTTATGCAAATGTAAAACATGATGCAGTGGAAAGAGCCCAGGCCTGGGAGGCAAGAGGCCAGAATAGAGTTGTAGACTGAGGGAAAATTGCATTGTTTGTGCCTGGCAGGATTCGATGAACCCTGAGGTCTCTGATACCTCCAGCTCCTAATAATCTGTGATTCCATTTTTTACATTCAAACACACGGTTTGTTTTTTCCCTTTAACTTTCAGAGATGACAGAAGATGAACAGTTTGCTTTGGCTCTGAAAATGAGTGAACAGGAAGCACAGCAAGTGAATGACCAGGTGGAAGAAGAAGAGGAGCTCTTAAGGAAGGCCATTGCTGAGAGCCTGAATGTAATTATACCTCTCCTTAAAAAGTTTTAGTGGGGTTCGACAGCAACATTCTTTTACTCCCTCAGTCATAAGACTTGTCACTGGAAAGAATGTAATCTGCACTATTTCCTAAAATAACAGGGAACAGTTTATAAATCCACATGAGAAAGAACCCATGAGGCACTGGGGGTGAGCATCATTTGAATTGTTGTTAATTTTTGTATGAAACCATTTACTCTATAGATTTTTTAGGCTGTTGTAGAAGAATAGTGTTCAGTAAAAATACTTTTCTATTTTACTGTGGCATCATGGGAAAGAAAGATTGATAGACTTGGAGCTAAAAGATCTGGCTTCAAGTGTAAACTCTGGCACTTACTAGTTGTGAGACCATAGGCAAGTAATTTAACCTCTCTATGCCTCATTTTCCTCTTCTGTTAAATGGAGTTAAGAAGTTTCTACTTCACAGGGTTGTTATGAGGAAGTCTTTTGCAAACTGTGAAGTTACTAGCCCTCATTACTCTCAGAATAATAGTATTTGGTATAAAGGACTAAAAAGAACAGGACACAGGGTAGCATCCTCCTGTGGGGAAAGTGGAGAGAGTGAAGATTGGGGTGGGAGATGGAATGAAATGTAGAGATGAAAAATTAGATTTGGTAGTTTTTCTGAAGATTCAAATTATATTCATATAAATTTATATTTTTAATATATGGATATAAACTCTTTAGTGAGTAAACATAAATTAAATGAAAAGATATGGAATGTAGTTGGAGATAATCGCATTCCTAAGCCATCATTTATATCAGTCAGCACTGGTTATTGAAAAAAGATTGAGCCTCCAAATGTTGGAGAGGAAGAATTTATTATAGGAGCAGTATTCTCTACTTTTTTTAAATTGCTCCTCATGTACATCTGCATTAATAATTTTATGGTGGGTGGGGTAACTTGTTTCAGAGTTGCCAGCCTTCGAATTCTTCTGCTACAAGCCCTGCACCTTTGTTCACTGGAATACCTGCACAGTACCACCAGGAGAAACCAGTGGTTTCTGAGACTGCTGAATGCTTGTTTCCTTGTCCTGAATCTCCACACTCATCTGTCACATCCCTGTCACAGGGATCTCAATCTGAACAGACAGAAATGCCCAAAAGTCCTCTGGTGATGCTGAAGAGGTTAAGTCAAGAAATAGTTGAAAGCTCATTATTATCAAGCATAATTTTATCTCAAGAAAAGATCCAGCCTTCACTTAAATCCAGTGAAGCACCTTCTTCACCCATGTTAAATGACTCTAGTGATAATTTATCAAGTCCTCCTGGTAAAAAACAGTTTGTCCTGAGTCCTACCTTTTCTCGAGTACCTATAGGAACATGGCAGCTGGTACCTCGGAAATTGTTTGCAAACTCATGTGTTAGCCAAGAAGAGGAGATTGAGGGAAGAGAGAACTGTTTGGATCACAGTGGAATCTTGGAAATGCAGCCAATCACTGACAGTTCAGGAACTGGGGATAAACCCACCAAGACAGTTCTTCAGAGTAAGAACTCTAACTTTTTTGACAGTGGAACTAGCCAATGGGCTAAGGATATAAAGTGTAAACAGCTTGAAGAAAATAGTAGACTAGGCTGTGGTTCTCTCATGGCTATACGAGGGAAAGGAAAGGCATCTCAACTCTGCCTCCCTAGCACAATTGATGTCAAGAGTCTGCAGGAGGAAATTGGAGGCACTGTGCACTATTATTGGGGCATCCCATTCTGTCCTATTGGAATGGACCCTAACCAGTATACTAAGGTTATTCTGTGTCAGCTAGAGGTTTATCAGAAAAGCCTGAAATTGGCTCAGAGGCAACTTTTTCAGAAAAAAGAGTTTGGAGAGCCAATATTACCCAGCTTTCATTCTCTGCTGCAAAAGGATCATGATGAAAGAGAGCGAGCCAAAGGAGTAAATGAAGCTATCACAAAAGAGATAGGAAATAACACAGAAGCAAGGAGAGAATCAAGGGCATCTACCTTGCGCCGAAAAAGTAAGAATCCCTGCAGGAGCCCATTGCAGAATTTGAAAGAAAAGCCTTTGTTGGAGGAAGAACCAACAACCAGTCACCATCAGGTAAGGATCCAGGAATGTCAGAAGCAGGGGTGGTTTACCTGCAGAATGAACAGAAATACGGGTTAACCATAACCCATTACTTTATCTTTTAAAAGGGACTAGAAACCTAGTATTGTTAAATTAGCTGGGACTTACCACTTCTTTGGGAATCATTGTCTTTACCAGCTTGCTTTGTAAGAGTCTGGAAAGGTCTTGGAAAGGAAATGAAATTTTGTTCCTTCATATCCTGTTCCCAAAGTTTTCTCAATTCTCTAGAATCATAGAACTTGAGAGTTGGAAGGGACCTCAGAGATCATCTGGTCCAACCTGTACCTGAACAAGCCTCCCCTCTACAACGTGCTCAACGAGTGATCATCCAACCACTACTAGAAGACTTTTTTTTTTTCGCAAAAGGGAAATTTTAAATGTAAGAAGATGTATTAGTTGATAGTACTCTGCAACCCAGAGATATCCCTTTAAAGGAGTAAATTTACTCCAGAATAGTTAACACTTAGTGATTTTTTGTCATTCACATTGTTGTCTTGAAAAACACTAAGGGCTTGAGTGCTAAGGAGAGCAGATTAGTTAAGTTTTTTAGTCTGAAGGCAAAAATGAGCACTAATCTTTGAACAGCCACAGAAGTGTTTGCGGCCAGTGGCTCCTTAGAAGTTCTCCAGCTCGAAGAGCAACAATCATGGGCTGGAGTGTAGTGAAACGAGGTAGAACTTGGAATTGGAAGCTCTGGGTTGAAGTCTAGTTCTCTCTCCTCTTTGATGAATGACCTTAGTCAAGTCATTTCCCTTTTTGTACTTCAGTTTTCTTATCTTCATGATGTTGGAGTTTGGATTAGATTGATCTCTGACGCCCCTTCCAGTTCTCACATTCTGTAAATGACAGTAGCAGGCAGAATTCCATTTTCTCCATTTGTCTTAATTTTTTTTTTTTTAACTTGAGGGTTGGGATAGAATATGAGAGAAATAGGTAAAATACATAAAACTTTCTATACCTTCTCTGGATCTTTCATTTTTGGAGCTGAATGTTTCACAGAGGGAAAGAGGACTTTATGGTGGTCAGCACTGTCAAACACTTACCATTGAACATATGACTTTGATGGGGAGAGGCCACGTTTGGTCCTCCTTAGTGGAAAATTATTGAGATGGTAGAAGAACAAAGCTGTGAAAAGTAAGGAGAGAGTTCTTAGAAAACAAGTGATCTCCAAGTAAATCAGATCTATGCAAATTTTGCAAAGTTTTTAGAATGAGAGAAAAATTGGCTGTAAAGGAACATTTTTTTTTTAAATGAGGCAGTGGGGTTAAGTGACTTAGCCAGGGTCACACAGCTAGTGAGTGTTATGTGTATGAGGCCAAATTTGAACACAGGTCCCCCTGACTCCAAGCCCGGAATGCTGTCCACTGCATCACTTAGCTGCCCCCTGTAAAGGAGCATTTTAAGATTTGTTCAGAAATTTAAAAAAAAGAGGACTTTGAAGTTATATTTAGCTATTGATTGACATAGACTTTCAGGGAAAGGGCTTATGAAAATTGATGGGGCAGAATCTGACTTTGGAAAGAAAAAGTTAATGATGTTGTAGGTCATGCTGGAGAATAACCAGGCTATTTTACCATGGTCATCCAGAACTATATTCTTTTTTTCTTTTTTAAAATTTAATTAATTTATTTTTAGTTTTCAACATTTATTTCCAGGAGGTTTTTTTTTTCTTAAGGCAGTAGGGGTTAAGTGACTTGCCCAGGGTCATACAACTAGTAAGTGTCAAGTGTTTGGTTTGAGGCCTGATTTAAACTCAGCTCCTCTTGACTCCAGGGCCAGTGCTCTATTCACTGCGCCACCTAGCTGCCCCTTCCATAAGCTTTTGAGTTTTAAATGTTCTTCTCCGTCCCTCCTTCCCTCCCCAAGATGGCATGCAATCTGACATATGCTCTCTATATACATTCCTATTAAACATATTTTCACATTAGTTATGTTGTAAAGAAGAATTTGAACCAATAGGAGGAACCACAAAAAGGAAGAAACAAAACAGAAGAGGAAAGAAAAAAGAGCAAATAGTATGCTTCGATCTGTATTCCAGCTCCATAGTTCTTTCTCCAGATGTGGATGTTATTCAGAACTATATTCTTATGGGGAACAGTTGAGTGTCCTGACAAACTTCTGTATCATTAGGTTTTTGTATTCTTTCTGCCATAATGCAATGTTGACACTAGGTGTCAGTGTTGTTTCTCTTTTTCTTTTCCTATTTGAAGCTGTCTGGGGTAGAGAACATCATTATGTTACTCCCGAGTTTAAACAAATAGTCTAGTGCAGTATTTATTGCGGTCATATTTTCCATGTTTTTTTTTACCCGTCATTTTTCCTGATGACTTCACTCCTGCGTCATTGTGTAACCATCTTCTCTATGACTGAAGGTTCAACTTTTATTCCAGTTTTTGAGTGTATTCAATCATTTACCTGAAGAGTAAAAGGATACTTAGATTGTTTGTATTACTTGTGTTCTGGTAGGTGATATGGAAAACCATAAACTTTCTCCAAGTAGCAGAGTTTGGAGCAGAGCCCCTTGTCAGTAGTATTTCCTACTCTTGTTCTTGTGACTTCTTCCTATTTACCTGCATTCAGTGAATTGAGGTTAATCTAGTTTTACTCTGATCAAATAAAATGTCATTTTTGCCTCTCTTCTCTCTCATTTTAAAAAGTCATGGGAACTCACAGGATCACCTACTAAAAAGACGGGTCATTTTTATAATAGTTTAGACAAGTAATCATCTACTTTCTGGTCAAGTACTTCAAGTGATGGGGAGCCCACTAAATCTCAATGAGGAAGCTTATTCCATTTTCAAACTGTTAAGAGTTTTAGGAAATTTCTTTATTCTGAGAATAAATTTGCCTTTCTCCCCATGACTTCAACCCAGTGTTCCTAGTTTTGTCCTCTGGAGCCAAGGTCTTCTCCATATGATAACCTTTCATATATTTGAAGGCAGCCATCATGTTTCATTATATCTCCTTCTGCCAAAGTAAAAATCTTTCTCTAGACCAAACGTCTCTAGCTCCTTCACCATTTCATGATGTGCTAGAAACATAGTGGGAAGTGAGATACTCAGTTACTATAGTAAATAGTTATCGTATTAATGAATGACTCTCAGACCCTTCACCATCCTGGCAGCCTTCCTTTGGTCAAGTTTTGGTTTTGTCAGTTTTCCTCTTAAAATGAAGTGCTCAGGACTGAACACAATATTCCAGATGGCTGACCAAATATACAATCAGACGTCAAAACCATAATGGCAGATTGTGTACTAACTTGCCGTATTGCTAGACTCTTATAGATGTTCTGTTTTAGCCTTATTGTGTACAGAGTGCTTTAAAAAAAATCTAATTTATAAGCCAAATTGAAAGTTAGCTTCTAATTCAATGTTACCTTTTGAGTTATACTTTTTTTCCATCTTTGACTACCCCATACAGAGAGAGACAATTGCTTTTCTGGTCATGAATTCATTTCTGACTTTCATATAACTTTCATTTCCTGTTTGCTTGATGATAGGGCCCAAAAAATGAAACGAAGGCAAGGAGAAAATCCATTTTGACTGTATGTACATGTATTTAAGATATTGTCCATATCATTGCAGAATTCCCAGGTCCTATTTGCTGAGGATACACCTGAAGAGGATGAAATGATGACAGTTACATCAAGGTGAGATTATATGTGACTTGTGTTGCTTTGGGGTTAAGTTCTCTACCTTTAGCAATAGTAGAAAGGTGTACTGCACAAGTAGGATAAGGCAAAAAAAATCGCTATGGTGCTTCTGGTATCTTTATTGCACACTTTATGAGAAATTTAAGTTAGTTCAATGAAATTGACTCAATGGAGTATCATCCACATTTAAGGTATTCTGTTGGGTTCTTTGGGGGCCATAAAAATGGATCACACACACAGTCCCTGCTCTCAAGGAATTTACAGTTTAAATGTATGTGTAGGAGTCTCTGTTTTGAGGGGAGACAGGGTCAGTCTAAGACAAATATACATCTCATAGTCAACATACTGACTTTATTAAGTACTTACTGTGCACTAGACACTGTGCTAAAGTCCTGGGGATGCAAAGGTAATCATCAAACTGTCTGGTATTGGCTAAGAAATAGAATGGCGTATCAATGGAATAGAGTAGATATACAATGCACGGTAGTTAATGATTATAGTAGCATTGTGTTTGATAAATGTAACGATCTAACCTTTTGGGTGAGAATTTGTTTAAAATTACTGGGAAAACTGGAAAGCAGTCTGACAGAGTAGGAGATACTGCCCCCTGGGGGGACTGGAACGATCCAAGGGTATGATAGTAGCCTGGGGTGCAATTGGGGGGCGTTAAATAAAAATAAGGGGGTGGTGGAAGCATAAGGAAAGAAGATAAAGTAAGAAAATTTTGAAAAACTAAATGTTTCATGTGTTGTGTAACAGTTAAAGTTGTAGTGATAACATTATTTTCCAAATAAACACACCAAATGCAAGTTATAACCTATCAGTGGTCAGGTCTGCTAACAGGTCTTAACAGGCACCTGTTGGCAGGCGAGCATTATCGCTAATTGTCAGGAAGTCCAGCAACATGCATCAACAGGAACATGTGCATGTGGTGACTTGTTTATAATAAGGTGCTGTACAGTTACATGACAATATTGTGTCATCAAAATTTCAGTGCAGGAAAAAACCCACACATTTATAATAAATTATTAAATTCAATATGTGTCCTTTTTAAAAATATTTTTTATATTTTTTGAAATTATGCAGGTTTCAAAAAAAATGTTAAAGGGTTAAAGAAAGTAGATTTCCAGGGTGGGGCACTAAGTAATTTTTTTAAAAAGAGGGCAACAGACCAAATAAATTTGGGAACCTGTGTGATAGACCAGTATGTTACACCATTTACCAAGTTAAGATCAAAACGGATATAAGACCTAGACATAAAGGGAGCTATCATAAGTAAATTAGAAGAATATGGAACATATTACACCTATCAGATTTATTGGATAGGAGAAGAATTTATGAATAAACAAGAGATAGAGATCATTGCGGGATGTAAAATGCATAATTTTGATTACATTAAGTTAAAAAGGTTTTATACAAATAAAACCAATGTAGCCAAGATTAGAAGGAAGGCATGAAATTGAGAAAAAAAAATTTATAGACAGTTCTTTGGATAAAGGCCTCATATCTCAAATATATAGAACACTGAATCAGATTTATAAGAATGCATCATTCCGCAATTGATAAATAGTCAAATAATGTGAACAGGCATCTTTTTGGTTAGAAGAAATCAAAACTATATATATTCATATGAAAACATACTCTGAATTACCATTGATTGATTGTTGTTCTTGTTGGGTCTTGTAATAGTATCCAACTCTTCATGACCCCATTTAGGGTTTTCTTGGAAAAGATGTTGGAGTGGTTTGCCATTTCCTTCTCCAGGTCATTTTGCAAGTGAGGAACTGAGGCAAATGGGGCTAAGTGACTTGCCCAGGGTCACACAGCTAGTAAGTGTCTGAGGCCGGATTTGAACTCAGGTCTTCCTGACTCTAGACCTGGTGCTGTATCCACTGTGCCACCTAGCTGCCTCCATTGATTAGAGAAATGCAAATTAAAACAGCTCTGAGGTATCATCTCACACCTATCAGATTGGTTAAAATGATAGAAGGGGAAAATGACAAATGTTGGAGGGAATGTGGAAAAATTGGGATACTAATGTACTGTTGGTGGAATTGTGAACTGATAACCATTTTGTAGAGAAATTTTGAATTATACCCGAAGAATTATAAAACTGCGTATGTATCCTTTGACCTAGCAATCCCACTATTGACAAATGTTTCCCAAGGTGATCAAGGAAAAAGGAAAAGAACCTATATCTTCTAAAATATTTATAGTGACTCTCTTTCTGGTGGCAAAGAACTGGAAATTGAGGGGATGCCCATCGATTGGGGAATGGCTGAGAAAGATGTGGTAATATGTAATATGTGATGTAAGAAATGATGAGCAGGTTGATTTTAGAAAAGCATGGAAAGACTTGCATGAAATAATGCAGAGTGAAATGAGAACTAAGAGAATGTTGTATAACAGCAGTATTTGAAAAGTAACTGAATGACTAAGCTATTCTGAGTAATATGAATGTTCAAATCAACTGTGAAGGACTTATAAAGGAAGATGCTATCTACCTTCAGAGGAAGAACTGATATATATAGAAATATATATTGTATGGTTTTACATATATATATCTATGTCAAATGTTGGCCTTTTCTAATGCAGGGTTGGGAGGGAGGAGGAGAGACAATTTGGAACTCAAAATGTAACAAACTAAATAAAATTAAAATAGAAAAAATGAGATTTTGTATTTGATCTTTGAGGTAATCAAGTACACTGACGTTGGTTTATGGAATAGGCGGGTGACTTATTGAGACCTGGGTTTTAGGAAGATTGCTTTGGTAGTAGAGCGGAGAATGGGTTAGAGTGGGCTGAGACTTAAAGCAGAGAAACCAACTAAAAAGATGCTGTAAGAATGTAAGCAGGAGGTTATAAGGGCCTTCATATCTCACAATTTTGATCTGGAAGAATCTTGGACATCATCTAGCCTAAACCCTTCATTTTGTAGCTGAGGAAACTGACTTTAGAGGGGTTGAGGTCACCCTGGTAATAAGTAGTAGAGTAGGGATTCAGACCTAGGAATTCCAGTGACAAATCTTTCTGCTGTTTAAGAATCTTTACTGATTTCTTGCTTACTGTATTAACTAATTTCCTCTGCCAATTTTCAGCAACCTTCCTACTTGGTTCCATCATACCTAGCCAATCTTATTTTCATCTGCTTCTTTATATGTATCCTTCTGCAGTCTAGAATTTTTCTTTTCTTTTTTCCTTCCTCCTGATTTTCATTTTTACATTTAAAATTTATTTGTTTATTTTGCCCCAGTTATATGTAAAAACAATTTTTAACGTTTGTTTATAAAACTTTGAGTTCCACATTCTCTCCCTTTTTTCCCTCCCCTGCTTGGAAATTTTCTTCCTGCTCCTTGGATGCAATTCTATACACACAGCAGAACAAAGAAAAAGGATGCTGTATGCAACTGTGGATATCCCATTTCATATGGCTTGCTTTGAAAAGTACATAATAAATTCTACATGTTGCTTTCAAAATTGTCCTTCTCGTCTGGGCTTCTTTCCTAACTTCTGTTGTCTTCTGCGCATAATGAATATTTTATTGGCCTATTTTTTTGAGCACTATATTATTGACCCTGGAACCCCTTGATACGTTCTCTTCTAATTAAAAACCTGGAGAAAGAAAGAGCAAAAAAAACCAAACAAGCCACCCTTTGTATACAAATAAGTATAACAAGGAAAATGAAGCCACATAGTATCCAAGTGCAGAAATATATTTCCCTTTCTGCACCTTGAGGCCTGTGCCTCTCTGCGAGAAGGTGGGTAACTTATCATGGCATTGCATTGATTCAGAATTCTTGAATCTCTCAAAATTATTTTTCTTACAATGTCTTTATATAAATTTGTTCCTGTTTCTGCTCACTTCATTCTGCATCAGTTCATATTACCCAGGATTCTCTGAGATAATTTCTTCATCATTTCTTATGATGCGGTAATATTAGATCCAGATACCATGATTTGTTTAGCTGTTTCCTGGTTGTCTAAGGATCCCCTTTTGTGGTCCTTTTTCACTTGTGTCCAAATCTTTGTGACCTCATTTGGGGTTTTCTTGGCAAAGATACTGGAATGGTTTGTCATTTCCTTCTTCAGCTCATTTTACAGATGAGGAACTGAGGCAAACAGGGTTAAGTGACTTACCCCAGGAGCCCATAGCTAGTAAGTATCTGAGGCCAGATTTGAACTCAGGAAGATAAATCTTTCTGACTTCAGGCCTGGCACTCTATCCACTGTGCCATTTCTTTACATTTCCTTTTAATTCCATTTTTACCCCTTTCCTTCCTGGGAAGCTTGTTTTGCTTAGAGCTGTTCCTTGCCTTCTAATGGCAAAAAGTGAAGAGAAATTAAGAAGCCTCTTGATGAGGGTGAAAGAGAAGAGTGTGAAAGCTGGTTTGAAGCTTAACATCAAAAAAACTAAGATCTTGGCAACCTGGTCCCATCACTTCCTAGAAAATAGAGAAAAAATGGAACATGTGTCAGATTTTATATTCTTAGGCTCAAAGATCACTGCAGATGGTGATTGCAGCCATGAAATTAAAAGATGCTTGTTCTTTGGGTAGGAACACTATGGCAACTCTGGACAGCACAGCAAAAAGCAGAGACATCACTTTGCTGACAAAAGTCCATAGAGTTGAAGCCATGATTTTTCCAGTAACTGTGAGGATTGTACTTTAAGGAAAGCTGAGCATTGCGCAATTGATGTTTTCAAATTGTGGTGCTGGAGAAGACTTGGGAGTCTCTTGAACATCAAAGAGAGTAAATCAGTCAATACTTAAAGAAATTAATTCAGGCTATTCACTGGAAGGTCAAATGCTGAAACTGAAGTTTAAATACTTTGTCCACATTATGAGAAGATGGGACTTATTGGAAAAGACCCTGATGTTGGGAAAGATTGAAGGAAAAAGGGAAAGAGGACAGCATAGGATGAGGTAGATAGATGGTATTATGGAAACAATGAACATCAACTTGGACAGACTTTAAGAGATGGTTTTGGATCAAAGAGTCTGGTGTGCTGTGGTCCATGGGGTCCTGAAGAGTTGGAAATGACTTAATTACATTTCCTTGCTAGTGTTATTAAGTTTTTTAAGCCTTTCCCTCTCCCTATCTGTGCTGTTGAGTTGGGGTTTTTGTTGTTGTTGTTGTTTTCTACACCAGAATATATGTTTGTTCTTAATCATCCATTGTCCATTTCACATAGGCTCATGTGATGCTTACCCTACCCCCCAAAACTTCTTCCTCCATGTTTGTATATTCTTCTCACAAACCTCTAGTAGAAATAGCAAGTTCTACCCCCTTCTTCATCCTTTCTTCACTAATGTATTCTTTTTTACTTTCCTTCTCATTCTCAGCTTCAAACCCTTAGGACATAACCAACCACCTCTAGAACCTCTGTTTTTATTGTTTAATTCATTACTTCACTACTTTTTGAAGAAATTGAGGTTTGGAAGGGACATTTGTTTCTCCTCCCTCTTAGAATGTTAGTGCTACGTCATCACTACATCTTACTTAGCTCTGGCATTCTCATCAAAAATGCTTGAAAGTCTTCCATTAAAAGTTCATTTCCTCTCCCCCACCCCCAAGATGATACTTAGCTTTGCAGGGTAAATTATTTTTGTTTGTAAGTCTGTCCTTTGCCTTTTGGAATATTTTATCCAAAAATCTCTCGTTTATCATAAAAGCTGCTAGGTTTTGTGTGATCTTGCCTGTGGTACCTTAGTACTTGAAGTGCTTCTTTCTAGATTGTTGCAGAATTTTTCTTTGACATGGAAGCTTAGGATTTTGTTTTATGACATTTTGGGAACTTTTTCTTTTGGAAATTCTTTCAGGGGATGATTAGTACATTGTTTTCTATTTTTACTTTGCCCTCTGCTTCTCATAGGTCTGAGCAGTTTTCATTTATGATTTCTTGAGATATAGTGTCTTTTTTTAATTACGGATTTCAGGCAGAACATTGATTCTTAAAATAATTTCCCCTTGACTTGTCTTCTGAATTTTTTTTAATCTCAGTTATCTTTTTTCTTTCAGTCTTTTGATTTTGTTTTCATATTTCTTGATACTGTATGTAATTTCTCATTGGTTTATTCTGGATTTTAAGGAATCCAATTCTTGGGTAAGGGTCACCACTTTCTATTTCAAGCAAGCTATATATTCTCCTTCAAATTCTTTCCATAGGAGCTTTTATTTTATTTCATTTTTTTGTGTCTTCTGCTTCATTTCGCCTGTGTATTCATGTAGTCCTAGTGGAAAATCCATTTTTTCCTTTGAGTCTTTTTGGTGATCTCTAGATTTGCAATAATTTTTGTTACTGGTCAGTGTTGTCTTTGATTTACTCATCTCTGCAACTTTAGTTCCTGAATTGGGACTTAGTGCCTAGGCCTGGTTTCTACTTGCTGCTGGGCTTTTCATTGTGGTGGTCCTTTTATTTCTCCCAGTTTCATTTTATTTTCATTTCCTTATTCTCTCCCTTCCACTCCCCTATGTACTGAGAAGGCAAGAAAAACAGAGTCTATCACACAGTATGTTGGATGCTGCAAATGTCCCCACTCTGGGAGCCTACTCTGGGTTGATGTTTGTGTAACTGGCAGGCCCTCTTTTTTATAGCATTCAAGCTTCTGGTCCACTTAGTATGTAGTTCTGAGATAGAAGAAATAATTTGCTGTGGTTTCTCATTGTTTTTCTTTATTATTTACTCTGATGTGAACTTTAGGATTTTAATGGTACACATGTGTGGGAGCTGGGCAGTTTGCCTCTTGTTCAGATAACCTTCTCTTTTGGAAGTTTATCACCTTTTCTAGCCATTGTTTCATATTACTCCCCTTCACACATGTGCTCTCTGCCTTTCTAAAACACTGGATTGTCACTTCCTGTAGGAAGATTGCCCTGATTTTCTCCCCGGTTCATAATGATCTTATGCTTTGGACTTTGAACAGCACTTTCCTGTGAATTTTTCTCATGCACTTAGTAATATTATTTATTGTTATCTATCTTGATGTCTTTTCCTTCTTAGACTCTAAGCTTCTTGAGGGTGGGGTCTATCTTGTTTAAACAGTACTTGGCGTACTCTTTAAAAAGACTTGTTTATTATCTTTACAGGAATGTTGGCTCCAGTTTGGTGGTCTTTCCTGGTTTTTACCCCTCAGCCCTCCTCTATGTGCCTGGATGTTAATTTTATAATATGTTAATTCTTCTCTCCCTATCTGTTTGTGCTTTCCCCACCTGGCTAAGTATCAGTTCTCCTCCAAAGCCCAGTTTTAGCTTCTTAGCCCCTATGAAGCTTTCCTTGATTCTTCCATCTTCTAGTTACAATCTCTGTTTTGTGGGCATCTACTGATAATCTCCATTGTATGCACAACTGTATATAGTCTTGTATTGTTTTCCCTTTATTTTCCATTCATGTCTCCCTGATTAAATTGTAAACTCCTTAAAGACAGAAATTGTCTTTTGCCCAGGTTACCTCCCATAAATTTTGGTTTGGAATAGTCATCATGATTCTTTATAACAATCTGATGATTCTGATGTCCAGCCATGCCTCTGATAGGACACTGCTCTGAGCTGTGGGGTTTTTAAGAATTGCTTTTTTGGGTTGAGTGGTTGGTATTCCCTGTTTTGAAGATGAGGCCTAGCTGTCACATATTCCAGTGGTTATACTGTATGTGTAGTCTGGGCTTTTCACAAGTTGATAGTGTTATTCCCACTACCTGCCAGATCCATTCTTGCTCCCCTTGATCCTTGCTCATAGTTTCCTTCTCTTCTCCATCTAACCAAATCCTACCCAAGGCCCATTTCAAATTATGGTGATGATGAGTCCACATAGGTGCTCTGGCCAGGGAGAGATCAAAAAGGGTTGGAGGAGTCAAGGAACACTCTTTGAAATTTGAGCCAGGCCTTCAAACCTAGGTGGGATTGGCTAGGTGGAGTAGAGGGGTAGTACAGTCTAGGAGAATTTCTTTCAGTGCTGGAAAATATGGCTTTGGTTGAATTCTCAGGCTATTCAAATGGTTTTGGAAGTGGTTTTAACTGGAGAAGCCTTTCTGCTTCCTGCGGGCCTCTTTGCTTTGTTGTGGTGAGCTCTGTGCAGAGCAGATGTAGGTTTTAATAAATGATTATACGCTTTGTCACCAGGAGATAGTTGGAGTAGCAGGCAATGCGGTTTGACTTCAAATTGATTAGCCCATTTTATAAATGTCAGCAAATTGTTTTGTGATGGACCCTTTGAATAGAGCCCTGATATTACTCGCAGAGTAAACTGTGCCTGGCTTGGGTTTCTAACAAATGCTTTGAGATGTTTTATTTAGAGAGAGAAATCGCTTGTGGTTTCCTATCAAGATTTAGTTATTTATCATGAATCAATGGTGGCTGTTCTTTCTTCTCTGTGGTTCTCGGTTGACATGGGGATTTGTGTTGTTTTTTTTTAAAGTGTTTTCTTGCATACTTGATCAAACTAATCGTAAAGCTCAGTGAAGCGGGAGGGGGCCAGCTCTGAATGCCGGCATTGCTAAACCACGTTTTCTTATGTCAGGAAGAGATTGCATTCCGTGAACGGGCAGGGAGAACCAGAAGGTCAGATAGGGAGAAGCCATGCATAGTTAAGCTGTGCACAAAATAGATGCTCAACTTGTGTGGGCAGATTTTTGCTGTAGGGTGGCTTGGAGAGTTGTAGCCTATTTTTTGCTGCTTTAGAAAGAAGTCTCTTGAGATAAAAAAGAAAATTAACAGCAAGGTGGGAAGAAGCTAGTACAATGTCAGGAGGCTCTCCAAGTTCTTTGCTCCAAGTGTACAAATCACTGCAATGTTCAGGCTTACCTGCGATAGGCAATATAAAACAAACCTTTGACATCTTTAGATTGGAGTGGAGATTTTTGCCTTCTCGATGCACGCAGGCAGTGCTTACCCTTCAGCCTTCCTTTGTGAGTTCTCTAGAAGGAGCTCCTTTTCACGTGATTTCCCTGGGACTGAAGTTGCAAGCATGTTTGTTTTTTCCACGTTTTTCTTCTGGTATTTCTACCATCACTTTCCACATTCCCATTGTTTTTCGTAGGGTTGCAAGTGTCTATTATTTTGTCACTTAGTATTACTTTGGTCTTGCTCTCTGATTTATTTTACTGGAAATCTATTTGACTGGTGGTCCTTTTTCAGCCCCACTGCTCTAAGCCTGTTGACCACTAAGAGAAGCCCAGTCATTGCCAGGGGAAGCTCTGCAGAAGAGATCACTGTTTGCCCAGGTAAGAGCCTCACTAACTTCGCAAATATTCGCGTGTTCCTCTGTTGGTTTTCAAACCCTGCTTCGGTATACATTTAAAAATTTCTTTTGATTTGTATTAAATCCACAGTCCACTTGGTAGATGATCTCTGACTCTCCATTTCTTCTCTTCCCCATCTTCTCTCAGGGAATTTTTTTTTTAGTATTGGAATTAACATAACTCTTGTTTGCACACCAATCTCCTCAGAGATGCCAGCATAGCACCAGGAATAGCACTTGCTTAATTAACGGCAGCTTCAAGACCCATTGGATCTTGTGTGTTGGTTTTGTGTGTCTTGCAAAGCTGGTATGCTATGTTGTCATTAAAGAAGAATTATTTACAGTGTTTTTCTTTTTTCTTTTTGTGTTGTTGTTCAATGTGGTATTGTTGCATAAAAATTCAAGAAACCAAGTTTGTGCTACAATTCTCACTGCCTTTTGACTTTTTGTTCATTTCAGATAAGGCAGTTAAGCTTGCTGGTTGCCTCATTGTATCTTTTTCTAAATTATAGAAATAAGGTTATAAGGCAAAGCTACATAATAATCAGAACTACTCTAAAGTAGAAGGGGCTTCCTTGGGAAGTGATGAATTTCTCGTCACTGAAAATAATAATAATTATAATAGTTATATAATTAATATAATATAATAATAATTCCCTGTGATACAGAATTCAAACTAAAGATAACCCTTTCTACTTTAGAATAATTCTAATTATTATATATATATATATATTATTATGTGATTACTGTGGTGATGAAAATACAGGGTATCCCAAAAGTGTTGGTATAGTTTTAAGCTTTCATAACTTCACTGCGCCAAGATTCTTTTGGAAAACTCTGTGTGTGTATATGTATATGTACATGTGTGTAGTACTTCAAGGTTTAAGAAGTCCTATCATCTCATTTGATTCTCACAACAGTTTGGTGAGGTATGTATTATTCCCCCATTTTACAACTTAAGAAACTGAGGGTAAGAGAAGTTAAGTGACTTTTCAAGCAACAGCAAATACGTGAGACAGAATTCAAACTCAGGTCCTCTTCCTAACTCCCCAAGTACACTGCTTGATCTCGTCTACCATTTAACAGGTACTTCCACAATGGAGATTTTCAAGTGGAGTTTGGTTGACTACTTCCCTCCCTCCCCCCCCATCTAGATATCATCATTTCTGGCTTTTATAAGGTCCTGTGGTTCATTAAGGAGGCTTTTGTATTTTCTAGTGTGTGTCCTTGAGGACTCAAACATCAACACCATAGCCTGGGGGTATTATAAAGATCTTAATTTTTAAAATTAAAAAGTTAGAGTTAAAAGTAAGTTTTTATAGGATGTTTTTTCCCCAGTTTGGATAGAATGAGGTTCTTGCAGAAAACGAATTGCTCTGCTTTTTGCAGGATTGTACTCCCTAGTAGTGTTATCTTTATGAAAAAGAAAACTTTAGCTCTCTTTGCTGAGTGCCACTGTCTTACTCCAACCCCAAGTCACTAACTCCATTTTCTAGAATGATAGCATCTGACATCATGGTAGGCTCCAACAGAGAGGAACCTGGAAATAACAATGATCTCAAAAGCCACAATTAATGAGAGGAAAAAGCAAACACTCCGTGACTGAGGTTGGATGGCTTTTATGATCATGACTCACTCTCATTAGCCTGGTAATTAAGTCCAACCATTAGCTGACATAAACTACTTCTAAGTAAGATTGTGAAGGGTTTCTATACCGTTAGTCTTCCTTTTGCCTAACAAGAGTAAGGACCCTCCCAGAGAAGCAATCCCCCCCTTTTAAAAAAATGTATGTGATATATATGAGTTGATGCTGTATTGATCCTTTAAATGAAACAGATGGAGAGGTTAGTCTGTGTTTTCTGCAATCTTGTTGTCTTAAGATCTCTGGCAGTTCTAAGCTTCTAGCACCCCATTAGCAGTGTAGTTACTTTGGGGTATTGTTCAGTTAAAGCAGCAGTATTATAGCATAACAGCTATACTGTTGTGTATTCTTCTGGCCTCATGTGTTTATGGGGAGCTGTGCCCACTTTAGCCATCATTGTTATCAAGTATTTCAGTCATTTCTCAAAATCAGAAGTGAAGACTTTTTTTGTGATTGAAATAGTCCAAGCAGTAATCAGCTCTTGCCTTTGAAGAGACTGACTCTCTTTTCTCATAACACTTCTTAGTAAAACCTGACAAAATGCGGTAGTACATATATACAGCAACCTCTATTTTCTGCACCATGGTGGTGAATAAAGTACTCAGATATTCTGGCTAATAATGTTTCTGTAAAATTACTAATTTTATAATATTAACATACTGTAAAAGACACTTAATATTAAAACTTGTACTGACCATAATTTAATCTTAGTTTGATATAACCTAAATCCTAGGGGGTACTTTAGGATCTTGCCACATCATCATTATGTATATCAACTATCATTGTACTTGATAAAATTCCAGATAACAGATTATTTACTTTGTATGTTGACAGAGTTCTTTGCCTTTTTACTCCTTTGCCTAGTACAGGTAGAATGTAACATATCTATTTGTGTGTGTGTCTATGTGTATGTTTACATACATACATACATATGTGTAAGTGCTTATATATGTGTATTTTTTTGATAAGCATTTATATTGTGCCTGTGTGTTAGCCATCACGCTAAGTGCTTTACAAATATTATCTCATTGCTTTTCACATCAACCCTTTGAGGTAAGTGCTATTATTATCCTCATTTTACAGATGAGGAAACTGAGGCAAGTGGAGGTTAAGTGACTAGCCTAAGGTCACACAACTAGCTTGTGAGTGTCTGAGGTTGGATTTGAACTCAAATCTTCCTGATTCTAGGCCCAGCATTCTAGCCACTGTACCAGCTAGCTCTTAAGAGGTAGATGGATAGTAAGAACCACATAGGGAAGGCACAGTAGCTGTGTTTAGTTTGCTTGTGTTTTGAATTAGTTTCTCTCTCTCTTTTTTAATTCAAATTTGCACCCCATTCTTTTAGTAGCTCCCTGCTATACCTTCAACTTCAGTAGTAATATAAGTAGCTTCTACTGACTGAGTAAATGTGTGTGTGTGTGTATGGATGCTATACTCCTATAGCTATAGTACTATTAAAATAACCCTTAGAGAATATATGAATAATTTCTTTGCACTGTGACAGTACAGCAAAATGAAAACTGAATTATCTAATAAAGTTTGTTTGGAGATTAGAAATAATGTGGAAGAATTTTTTCTTGTGTTGCAGAGACACAGCTAAGTCCATCTGAAGTTCTTGAACTAGAGAGAGAAGAGGGGTGCCTATCTAGTAAAGAAAGACCTGTTAAGGTAAGAGCAAGTTGGGTCAGGTATGGAGCATGTAGGACTTCTGAAGCTACTCCTCTGAAATTTTCTTTAGTGTTTTCTTTCTGTAAGTTACCCATCTCTGAAGCAACATACTTTTGACTTCTCAGAGAAGAGATGGCAGGACCTTGTAGCTTTTGGTCCATTCTTGGCACACTGCCAAGTGAAGAGAGCAAACTCTTGGACTGTGAGTTAGGAGAACTTCACTCTGTAATTGACTAGCTGTGTGACTTTGGGCAAGCGTTATTTGCTTCTTGGGAATCATTTTCATCCTCTATAAAATGAGGAGGTTGGATTACATGCTTTCTAAGTTCTCTTTCAGCTCTAAGATTCTGTATTTGGTAGTTGAGTGGAGGAATTCCTTTTGGGCAGCTCACTTGTACATTGTTGCTAGTAATGTATTTACTAGTATGAACAATTTCAGGATGAACTCACTGTCTTTTTGAAAATTCATTTTTATTGCTATCTTTTATTTTTTGACACCAATACCTTTTTCAATGTATCCTTCCCACAGAGGTATTCCTCATATCAAAGAATATGAAAGAGGGGAAAAAAAGTTCAGTAACACTAACCAACGCACTAAAAAAGCCTGATATTTTCTGTAGTGTAGAGATCCACGATCTCACACTTTGCAAGAGAAGGGAAATGAAGTACCTCTACAGTTACTATGGGATTTTATTTTGGATCTTGGTGTCTAGCTTGGCAGCCTGAGCCTAAAAATGAAGCCATGGTAAAAATTAGCCTCTTATTTTCATGATTACATTTCCTGTCTTATGACACATCTTTAGTAAGAACAATGCAGCTGCTGCAATAACGGAATCTAATACAAGTTCCTCCTTCTGTTCAAGACTCCCTTTGTATGTTCTTGTGACTCTGAAAAAGAAATATAACCATCAGTAAGTCCTGTCAGTGTGCTTCAGACATATGAGGCTGTGACAAGGGGATCTATGAATGAAACATTCATTATGTGGGTACAGAGATTTGGTTGCATTTGTATGCCTAATTGTTTTGTTTTCTGCTGCCTTTGAAGAGTCAGAGAACAGAATTCTCCTTTCTGTTACACCTCTCTTTAATGTTCCAGGTTCCTTAAACCTGTTTTTTGCAGCAGTGAGTTAGACCTCTTTTCTAGTGTCTACTTCAGGTAGCCACATGACCACCTCTTTCCATTAATCATTCACACAACCTGGTATGTTGGAACGTGATCTATCACTGCTGATAGTTGACAGCTCCTGGTGCTGAGGTGTGGTAGATATGAAGATGGCATTTCTTACAGCATAATGCCCATTCACAGAGCCTGCTAGGCAATGTAAACATGAGCTCTGGACCTATGTCCCTGTGAGGGACCAAACTCTTTTTGTGTTCTGGGATGGGAAGGATAATGTTAAGTCATTCTGTCACATAGAAATCCTTGCAAGCCTGGAGTTTAATCAAAGATGATTCCGTATGCAACTGCAGTTGCAAAGGACACTGCTTTATATGGGTCAAAGAGCCATATAAACCCTGTTTAGAATTTATAGTGCATGTATCTGCACCATTACATGTCAGAAGACTGTGGCTGTGGTTTGTGTTTACTTCCCTAAATATCTTGAAAGGTTCTAATGAGTGAGGTTTAGCTTTTTAATTATTATGAACCAATTGCTTAATTAGTTTTAAGTTTTTTACCAGGGCTGTGGAAGCTCTTTGAACTTTTCATATGTGTCCAGGTAAGAATATTGAAGATCACAAATGTGTGTGTGGTCTCTCATATCTAAGCATGGACCATTTGATCTGAAATGTCTCACTTGATATGTATTCTTGCCATACCAGTCTGTAATGCATTGTGACTGTTCAGTGACATCAGATTGCAAATATCAGAAAACTACTTTGACAGCATCTCTGAGGAAGCTGAAAAACTGGCACTTGAATTGTGATCCCTCTCAATTTGTTTTCCCTCAGGAGTCACGTTCATTTCGTAAACTTGGAAACTTGTCTTTCAGATGCTAGATCAATTCCCTCTTCTCCAGTGATTTCAGTGGAAGTTACTTAGGCTACTAATTAAGTTGGTAGATGGGGGAAAAAAGAAAGTTTGTATAGTGACCAGCCTAGGTTCCATTGCAAGGGGGATTCAAAAACTTACAAAAGAGTTTTTAAAATTATTTTTTGTTTTTTAAATTCCCACTACAGTGAACTTTTGAGGGCCAGAATGTTAAGTGTCACCCCTTTAAGAAGCTTTATCACAATGTCTGATTACCTCTTTTGAGAAGTAGTTATGTGATATGAAGCAGAGGAATGTCTGCCAAAGCTGTCTTCTGCTGCATGGTCTCAATAAAAGCTGCTTTTGTTGTATTTTTCCTTCTTGAGGTTCCTCTGTGGTAGTTAATATTTAAACAGACGTTTTTAATGGTGCTAGAAAGAAATCTTTTTTTAATGTAAAGATAACAGAAATCTTCTGGATTGCCTGTGAACATAGTTGGAAGTGTTCACAGTAAGACAATAATAGACAGACTTCTTCCTCTTGAATACATTAATAGTTGAAGGCACATTCTCTGTATTTTACAGAGCTGATTATGAATGCAAAGAGAATAGTGCTGGGGTGTGTGTTCTAGGGAGATGCATGGCATACATCACAAGTGTGTTTAGTGAACTTTGAATGCTAAGTAACTGTCGAAGATGGTCACCACTTCTGAGGCATTCATAACTGCCTGCGTATTGTTATGTCATAATTGATTTTCTTACTCAAATAAGGTTTCATATATGTGGCACATTTCTGACTGGTTTCTCTAAACACAATGAAGAACCTGGAGGAAAAGGACACTCAATGAGCAAGTGTAGTTGGGAAGAGATTTGAGGTCTTCCCTACCCAATTAAATTATTCTGTTCTGTTCTTTAAAAATTGGGACACTTCTTAGGGTTTGTAGAAAAGTTTTGTGTAAGAATATTGATCTTACAGCTAGAAAGTATCTTAATTACCTAGGTTAACCTTCACAGTCTATAGACAATGCAGCTGGGAGGGGGAAAAGAGGATGGGGGGAGACAAATAACTTGTGCAGGGTCACACAAGAAGTATTCAGTTGGCCTAGGATTTGAACCCAGGTCTTCTTACTCCAAATTGACTAATCTTTTTGAATGGCCTTTTTGCTTCCACCACTCAATTTCTGTTCATAAACAGCCTGTTTTGGAAGTGGCCTGGTTTTACAGCCCAAAATGGCGATTTTGCTTGTCTGAATTTTCATTCCATCTTAGCTTTGAACTCAGTTTGTTTCTAGACCAGAGAAGGATTTAATTTTTTCCTCCTGTGAGGTATTGTAGCAGCACAGGTGATCCTTGCTGTAAATGGAAACAGTGGATATCCAGGGCAGCCTCAATATTGATTGGCTGGGACATGCTGTCCTTGGAAACAAGCATTAGGTAGTTGTGCTGCAGTGCTCACTCGTGCTGCTGAGTTAATAACTGCAGAGCTCCCAGCTCTGACCTGTACAGGTGAGATGTAGGCATTACAGGAGGAAGAACAGCTGCACAACGGTGATGATAATAAGAGCTCACATTTTAGTGCTGTAAGGTTTATAAAATGCTTTCCTAGTAAACCCATAAGTAGGTAGTATAAGTATTATTATCCACACCTTATAGAAGGTGAAAGTGAGGCTTAGAGAGGTGAAATGACTTGCACAAAGCCACAAAGCAAAAATTGAACCCAAGTCATCTTATTCTAAGCCCACTCTTTCCACCATGCTATTCTGCCTCACTGAAAAATGTTAGAGTAAAAAGCAAAGGCAGCTTAATTTTCATGCAAATGTCATTCCCTCCTACCTCCCCTTCAGGACTCCCCACCCCAAAAGATTGAAAACTCCTTTAGGTAAAGGATTATGTCATTTTTCATTTTGTGCCACAAGCACCTAGCACAGTGTATAGTGTGTAATGATACTCAAATGTGTATTGAATTCTCTAAATGAGAAACATTTAGAATTCTTTGCTTTATAAATTGAAGGTATTGTGATTCCTTTTTGTGATAATTATGTTCTTTGTGTCCTTCAGGCTGCTGTCAATGAAAATATTGAGAAGGAAATGTCTGCCTCCATCTTCTCGGCCCATATCCAGGTGTCCTGCCCAATGTGTGACCAGGGTTTCCCGCCCACAGAAATTGAGCTGCATGCCATGTATTGCAATGGTTTAGTGGGGGAGGAAAGCAGACACTCACCAGGTTAGCCAAACCTATTTCTCTGAGCTTCTGCCAGAGAATCTCTTTGTCACTCTTCTCTTCCTGTCCTTAGCTACTGTTAAAAGCTTCTCTGAGAAATGTCAGCAAGTACAGCGTTTTATGTGAAAAGAGTGGTTAAAAATGATTTCTGACTCTGGATTTTTTTTAGCCTTGGTCTGTAGGTCACCAGATTTGCAGATGCCAGTGCTTAAGATTTTACTGTGGCATCTTTCTCTCTGGTTGCTTTTGTTGAGTAGCTTTGTGCAAGGGAACTTTTTGCTTATGTGCTCCACAGTTCAAGTTCTAGTGTATGTATTCTCCCATCCTTCTTGTGCTTTTACTTCTTAAGGAAGTTTTTTTAGACAAACCAGATCTTCAAAACTGCCTCATAAAATATCTTAGATCCATTCTAAGGTATCTTTGCTTCAGAATATCTTTGTAATCTAGTGCAGTACATGTGAAAAGCAGCAGGATGTTTAGGTAGAGGAACTTGTTCTATCTGGTCATTTTACTCATACCTACCATGTTCTTTTGCACTTTGGCACATGGGGAGCTCCAGCTTAGCTTTTGCCAAAGAAAGGCCAGAGGCCAGTGCAGTGCGATGGTTGTGCCTCTTTAGTATCCTTTCAAAGATTTTTTAGGGCCTGAGGGACAGAATTCCAGAGATTCAGACTTTAAAATTTACTCTTTTGGTTGTACTTAATAAGATTAAAACTAAAGTAGGGGGCAGCTAGATGGAGCACTGGCCCTGGAGTCAGGAGGACCTTAGTTCAAATCTGGCATCAGACACATAACACTTACTAGCTGTGTGACCCTGGGCAAGTCACTTAACCCCATTGCCTAGCTCCCCCCACCCCAAAGAAAAAACAAACTAAAGCAGGCTGGCAGGTGAATAAAATTCATGCCCCTTACTACTCATTTCCTCCTTGTATTCTAATCAGAGGAGCCTAGAAAGTCATACCATTTTTTGTATCCTTCGCCTGCTCTCTGTTCCCACTGCCACCAAGTTGTCCAGGCTGTGGTAAGCCACCTTGTATCTGCCCATTTGAACTGGCAGAGGAGCTTCTTCCTGCCTTCCTCTTTCTTTCCAGCTTCACACATCTTGTTTTTGTATTTCTACCTCAAATAGTCCTTCTATGTACAGATGGCCGTGTCACTTGTAGGCCCAAAAATTTCCGGTGGCTGCTTGTTTCCTGCCAACAACAATAATGACCTACTATGTGCCAAGCGCTGTGCAAGGCTCTGGGGGCACAAGCAAAAGTGACACTTTTCCTGCCTTCGGAAACCCAGTGGCTCCCTATTACCTTTGTAACCCAGCCCCAACTCACCTCTAAACCCTTAGTATGCATTAGCTCCTTTCACTCACACCATGGTTGTCTAGATTAACTGGCTTTCTTAATGTTCCTCACACAAAGTATTCCCCATCTCAGTGCCTCTACCCTGGATATCCCCTTCACCTGTAATGTACTCGCTCAGCACCATCTCCTGCATTAACTTTTCCTGAGCCTTTTAGCTCCTGGTATTTCCGATACCATCCCCCCTCCCCGTTTACATCTGTTTTCCCCAAGATTTGGTGAACTGCAGTCCAGTGACCAAATTCTAGCTCTCTACTCTCTTTGTACCAGCTAAGAATGATTTTTTAAAAAAAATACAATAAGAACTGTTTAAAAAATGTAAAAATCACACTAGCTCCTTGGCAGTACGAAAGCGGACTGTTGTTATAATTTGTTGACTCCTGGTCTTCTCAGTGCTTCCTAAAACTCCCAGGGCTTTCTACACACTCTGCCGCTGAACGTTAGAGACCACCAGACCTTGCCATCTGCCCTGAAGCTGAACCCTTGATGCGTACTATTTCCCTCATTAGAATGTGAGCTCCTTGAGAGCAGGACCTGTTTTGAATCCCTAGTAGCACTTAGAATAGTGTTTAGAACATGATAAACAGTAAATACTTTTCATTTGCATATCTATATCTTAATCCATATATGTGTGTGGTCATCTGCATACATCCTAGAGGTAATAGGGTGCCGTTGGATTTATTGAGCAAGGCTTTGATGTGGGCAGACTTGCTTAAGGAACATCACATAGATAGCTATGTAGGGACTAGTAGATTGGAGTAGAGAGAGACATCTTTTGCTTGTCATTCAAAACCATCAGTCTGGCACCATCCTACTTTTCAAGCCTTATTTCATTTTATTCTTTCAAATACTGAATGTGCTAGCCAAACTGCTTTCTTCCTCCAAACACACCTTATGCTCTCCTACATTAGTGCTTTGGGTACATTTGTTCCTATACCCTCCCCTACATTGCCTGTTGAATCTCATATACCATTTTGCTTGTACTTCTCTAATGTACTTATATGTTATGGTTAACTGTTTCTTACTCTTCTACCACACTCAAGTATCCACGTAGTATCATGAGATAGCATGGTACAGTGTAAAGAGAACTGGATTTGTATCAACCAACAAACATTTAAGTGCCTACTGCATGCTAGGTACTGTGCTAGCTTCCAGGAATACCAAGACAAAAATTAAACAGTTCCTGCCCTCAAGGAATTTACATTCTTTCAGGGGAAAAAATATATACACGTAAGTAGATAAAAAATGTATTCAAAGTTAATATAAGCTAATTGGGGGAGGGGAGAGAACATGAGAGAGGGGATGGTACTAGCTTTGCCTCTCATTACCAATGTGACCTTAGGCAACATTTGTCAAAATGAGAGGGTTGTACTAGATGATCTAAAAGTTTCTTCCAGCTCATCTTGTGATCTAAACTTTGCATCTCACCTCTTCCAGCACCAGCCTGGTATTCTGTACATTATAGGTGTTTAATTGTTTGCTGAGTATGGAATTATGTGAACTTTGATTATTGACCCTTGAGACACAACTTGCTTTGTTGCTTCCCCTTTGTACTCTCCAAAAGAACATAAGCACACTCCACCAAAAGAACATTAGTATGGTAAACATACTATAGACTCTTGAGAGTGTTTGCTGCATTTCTCAATGTGCTTGACCTTCACTAATTTGCAGGGGCTAACATCTCAAATTGTGTCATATTAAAGCACTTGAAAAGGGTGAGTTAAATTTCCAGGAAGGAAAGGCAGGGTTCTTAACTTTTGTTGAAGCAATATTGTTTATTCATTAAATAAGGAAGTGCCTAAGCTTGTAGTATTTTACTCATAATGAAATTTGAGGAACTTAATCAGGACAGATGGGAAGACTCTTCAGTTTGGACTTAGGTGTAGAACAAACAAAAATGAATGATATTTTATCTTAATTTTTGTAGGATAAAATACTACCTTCATTTAAAGCCCTCCTCAATCTGATGCTGACCTCTCTTTACAACTGTATTTTGTGTTACCCACTCCCTTCACATATATCATGTTCTAACAAGTCTGGACTGGTAGCTGTTAGATGACTTCATTAGGTTGTATACCATCCCCATGCATTCATCAGGTTAATCCTACCCAACTTGGAGCACAGTTCCTATTCATTGCTGCCTCAACTCTTCCTTCAAAACACAGCTCAGGTGTCTCCTTCTCCATGAAACCTTTACTGATCCATCATGCCTCCCCCTTCCCCAATAATATTTTTCTCTTCTTATTTTCCTAGAGCAATTTGTTTGGATCTCTTCTTAAGCCTTATTACATTCTGCCTTGTGTTATAATTTTCTTTACCTTATTCTGACTATTAGATTACAAATTCCTTTGACATCAGACCGTCAGTTTCATTTTGGTATCTCCATCCCTTAATCTAATGCCTTACACATTAAGTGTAAGGTGCTTAATAGTGCTTGTTGCATTGCAGTGAACAAAAAAGCACTTTTGGGGGGATAACCACAGGAAGATGAGGGTACATTTTGTCAAACATGCTGGCAAAGGCAAGGTTGTTAATCAGCTAGTTTGGTGATCCTGAGCATACAGGTCCAGAAATCAATAAATTTCAGGAGTTACATGGTCTAGTTTTTTCAGATCAGGATTAAGGCTGATTAAGCAAGAGCTAATATTGAAAAACTAACACTGCTACCCTTCTATACTGAACTGCTATCTTGTGGCACAGCATCAAGCTTTATTCTCCGTGGCTGTCAGGCACCTTTCACCAGCATGAAATTTGTTCTTAATCTTGTTCTCCCCCACTCAAGATAAAGAAAAACTCGGCAGTTTCATATACTTGACCTTGAAATTGACTTTGAGCTTGCATCCTTGTTTCAGAATCTTCTTCAACCAAATGTAAATCTTACTTCCTCTGAAGTCTCTAACCTTAGCAGCAGGAATCCAGTGTATTGATAGCATAATACAGAATAGAATTTAAGTGATATGTTCACAGTGTCATCGTAATCCATTCAGGGAAAGTGCTTCAGGTTCTCCTTATTCCTCTGGGCCCAGGGTCAGTAACCTAATCTCAACTTTTTAATTGGATTTACACTCTAGGTCTAAAGGACCATTTAAACTATTACAGACTTAAGTGTTTCCCCTTATAATAGGAATCTTCAAGTCTTTAATTCTGTATCTTCAGTAGCTTTGAACTAAGTCTCCGAGGCTTTCATCTGAAGAAGCCTACTATACCCTATTAACACTAGTTTCTTTGCAAGGAAGTTTGGGTGCATTGGGGGGGTTTTTAATGATTTCAAGTTGTTTTTCTTATTTTTTAATGAAATTTTTTCTGGTAACTTTTGTGTTTATAAGCCTTTCATTTCTTAATACATTTCTCTCTTTCACATCCTCTTTCAAGAGAGCCATCCTTTATAATAAACAATAAAGGGGGGGGGAAGTTCAGCAAAACTTACCCATATTGTTCAACCCGATACATTATATGCAGTGTTCCATAACCATAGTCCTCCACCTCTGCAAAGATGGGTGATTCATTCTTTTTTTTTTTTTAGGCAGTTGGGTTTAAGTGACTTGTCCAGGGTCACACAACTAGTAAGTGTCTGGTCTGAGCCCGGATTTGAATTTGGGTTCTCCTGACTTCAGGGCCAGTGCTCTATCCACCGTGCCACCTACCTGC